GCATCTCGACCTGGGGAAGGATAGCCGCCAGGCATACTATAGCAATACCTACACGCCGCAGCTTATTACTTGAAGCGTCCCGTCCACCAGACGCATCCCAGAAGATCAATATATGTTCCCCTTCCGCTCCAGACCCAAGACAGCCCTCCTCCGGGCCACTAAGGCCCGCGAGTTCCCAGTCCTCCTCCTGGGGAGGCCCAAAACGCTTCAGCCATGTTTATGTGAATTCAACGTTTGCGCCACCATGTCACTCGCGCGGGTATGCGGAAATGCTCCCCGATTTTTCTCGCAAACCCAAAACCGATGAAAAGGGGCCCCACGACCTGTTCACGGCGATCACATAGATCATACCCAGTGCAGCGTTTAAGCTGCCCCACCTTCCTTTGCTTAGTCAAATAACTTCCAGTACGTACAAATATTTACCACAAGCTCCCCCAAATGAGTCCCACGCGGCAACAAATTCAGCATCGCAACCAAGGCCCTAACAGACCCCCCCACCCCACCCACCCACCCCACCCCATCCTTACTTCCTATGATTAAACACCCCCACATCCCCACCTGGCCGGCCGATTGCAGACCCGCCGTCGTAACTGTCAAAACAACACCAACTCAACGATTCGCTCGCCAACATGTCGTCGAGATGCGAAAAGTGAAGCACGAATGTGACGGAATGAACATCGCCTGGGGAGCCCTAAGCGGGCGGTCGCGTCTGACCCGTCCAAAAAAATCAACGTCCTCCTCGTCAACGTGGACTTTCTTGTCGTCGACGCTGCGAAAAAAAGTGAGTGCAGCAGGCATGGAACGCGGCGCACATCGCGCGCGGACGCCTGGCCAACCCTACGAGGGACACCCGTCCGACCTGTCAAGAAACACAACAACGTCGACGTTTTTCTTGCCACCCTGTGCTTTCTCGTCGTCGGCGCTACAAATTGCGCAGCGGGAATGGGACGCGGCGCACATCGCGCGGGGACGCCTGCTTGTCAAGATGGACTTCCTTGTCGTCGACGCTGCGGCCCGTGGGGTTGCGGAGATGGGCGCGGCGTACATCGCGCGCTGTCTTGTTTCTCGTCGACGTTGCTCAATACGCGGAGGAATAGGACGCAGCTCATGTCGCGCGCTGCACGTCTAGCCGCCCACGATAAAAGATGAACGACAGGCGTCGGACGCGACGCACTTGCTTCTTATGTTGTGGGAGGGCTGGTGGGAATGGACGGAGCCCTCTGGCTCGTTCGAGCTGGCTAACTTGACCCCACCCCACCCCACCCACCCAGCCCCACCCCCACCCGCACCCGCACCCCCACCCCCACCACACACAGTAATGTTTGGCCGCTTGCTGCCAATTCAACCGTCTTGCAAAATCTCTGATATCCTGAACTAGGTGGCGATGATGATCTTAAGCTGGGTTACCGGTATAACTACGTATGGTCTGGGAACTGCCACTCTTCAACCAAACCTGAACGGAAAATATATGTCCAAATGTGCGCCTCCGTCGGATCCCACTGCAAGCGAAAAAGGTTCAACATCGTCGCTGCAGTCGGGCCCCTGACCCCTCTCACCTGGTCCGCGGGGGACCGCCGCGTGAGATCGGCAACAATCTTTGGCCACACAAACCGAATGCTTTTGCGAAGACCAGGATACGCGTGCCAGGACTTCAGCCGTTGGTCAACACACTGCGATGAATACAACACCGACGGGTCCGCTTCTGGAGCGCGCAACTCCGGGAGAGACGCGAGGCATCTCCCCTTCGTGCGCGCCCTACAAGTTTGTCCCAATCTACGGCGACGCCGCAATAGCTGCTGCCCAAAAATGCCATTGACTTGGTGCCCATATGTCCCTGCCGCTCGCCCTCCAGCCCTGTAAAACGCTTCACTTCCTCACTCATCTTGGAATATTTCTCGCCCCGCCGCCGTCAGGTTACGCGCCCACGCCTGCGGCAACTAAAATAGACTCCTATGCAGGCCGCCTTGCTCGGCCACGCGCATTGGGAAGCCCTGCATCCTTACCGCTCTCACAACAGCCTGCGCATCTTGAAGTGAAGAACACAACACCACCGATGTCTTTGCAACCTGAAGACCCACTTTAGCCAACTCCTGCCACGTTTTGACAACTGGTTTGGCCATGTTGCTTCGCACCGCTGGTCTCGATCCAGTGATGCGTAACAATATAGCATCTATCCAGACTACGCGGCCCATGCGGGGCGTCGCACACGCGACAACATTCAAAATAAAATGCGCGAGCACCTTCGCGCATCTAGTACCCGACCTTAAGCCTTGCACAACTGATTGGCACGGCTCAAACGGGTCGGATGCTGCCCATTCCTGCTCCACCGCGCGCGCCGCTACACATTGCAGCAGCTCTAGGTAGAGCACCGTCGGGGGGAAATTCAACTTGAACGCCGCCTTGACCAGCGGTGCCCATGGGATGGAGTCGTCGAACTCCTGCACGTCCACGATGCTGTCGCCGAACTAGAGCTTCATCCAGGCTGCCAACTCCTCACCGA